TCCTCCTCCTCCTCCTCCTCCTCCTCCTCCTCCTCCTCCTCCTCCTTTCCATCCATTTATATCTATCAATCTATCTCATCTATCCATTCATCCATATGCGCACACACAAACACACACAAATAAAATGTATATGCAAACACATACACATGGATATATACATATGTGTACATTTCTCATTTGGATTTACAATGTTTGCAAACAGTACATTATATTTAAACATAGTTATAAGTATTTAATGGTACTGTGCACTAGTAGGAAATCAGACATGAGTTTCTTATTTAAGGAACCAGTGTGTTACAAAAAAGTATCAGAAGAATCAAAAGGACTTAATATGAGGCTTCCTTAATTAACTGGTTATTTGGACTTGAGAAAAATGTGCTCTTCAAAGCTGACACATCAAACATAAATTAAAAACTTGCAAAACATTATTTTTCTAACAATTATTTTCTTTTCAGAGTTTTAGGAACTCTTTCCAAAACATGAAGGATATTGGTTTTTTGCAAGTCAAACTTTTAAAAGCGGTTGATCTGTTAGCTGCAGATTTTTCAGGTATATATTGTTTTGTTTCTCTTTCACTCTCTTCAGCATGGCTTAAATCTCACATAAATGCAATTCTATAAAGGAGGGTCTGAAACAAAGAGGAGAATCTCTCAAGAAGCTAGAATATCAGCAAGCTTCTTTTCATTGAAAAAAAAAAATTCTTGAACGTAATATTTTTTGGTTTCTTTCTGTAGGCAAAAGCGATCCCTTCTGCGTCTTGGAATTAGGGAACAGCAGACTTCAGAGTTATACTGTTTACAAAAACCTCAACCCAGAATGGAATCAGGTCTTTACTTTGTAAGTAGATTTGCAACTGAAATTCTGGATGAGAGGGATGACTGGCATATTTCTTAGATTTGCCAAGAAAGAGCTAACCTTACCTAGTAGGAACCAATCTTGGGAAAGGAGGTGGAGGGACATGTAGGTACTTTCAAAATATAACAGATTTTATTATTGAGTTTAAGACATACCTTCTCCAGAGCATCTGTACTTTAAATCCAAAAGCAGTGTGTTATATTTTATTTTGAAAAGAATTATGACATTTACCCACAGTCTAGAATTTGAGGGGTCCTTGGTGCTCTCTGAGCTTGGTTGTTTTCTTGCAGATGTTTCATTACCCAAACCAGGTAACGTCAGTCAACTCAAACTGATGATGTTACCTAGTTGGATCATAAAACATCTGAAAGAAAACCACCAAGCTCAAAGAGCACCAAGGACCCCTCATTTCAACCCTCAGTTAAAAATATTCTGCTTTATCAGTCTAGAATTTATATGTTTATCATCTTAATAGTTTTTCCTCTTAATTAGTCTTAAACTAAATGGGTTAATTACTTCAAGATGCTTCTTTGCACACTCACCTTTGAACCCAGATAACATAAATATGAACAATTAGCAAGGTAGTCAGGGAAACCTTTAGCAGAGGAGGTGGTAGAATCATCTGGAGAGGTAGTCCATTCTCAGTGACCTGTTGGCTGCTAGGAACATGGTCCACTGAGAAGAGGCAGAACTTGATGGCTAAATGGCAGTTCTCCCAACTCATCGATTCCATCATGACCGATGGCAAGTTCATGCTTGTATCCCTGCTGGAAGAAATGTTGGAAAAAAGAATGCTATAGTATACTTCAAGTTACAAGGAAAAAATTAGAAGTATTTAGTTGAGTACTAGGCGGCCCTCTTGAAAGAAGACTCAAAGGAGAAGGTTTGCAAGAAACAGCATAAACCCAAAGAGTAGAGAGGCTGTAAGCAGTGGTGGAATTCATGGGATATTAGGAACCTGGGAATAGTGCAGATCATGTCAAATAAAATGAACTTGACTTCTTTTAAAGCAGGGTCCCCAAACCCCTGAGCCATGGTTCATTACTGGGGCGTGGTCTATTTGTAACTGGGCCGCTTGAGTGGTGGATACCCATGCATGCAGCTCAACTTGCACAAGCTGCACCCACATGCATGTGACTGCCAGCCCACTGCTTGCACAACTTGAGCTGTGTGTGTCGGCCCACTGCTCACACGGTTTGGTTTCCCCTCTTCCCCCCCACGCTGGGCCTCCAAGCCACGAAGCTTGGGGACTGCTGATTTAAAGCACTAAAACCAACGTTGGGTAGATGACAGCAGGGTTTATGGTCACGTTGCTTTCTTAAACATACCTTCCACCTATGTTGGGACTATGATTTCCAGAGTTCCCCCACAGTGGGGTGGGGGGCGGATTATGGGAGCGATAGTCCTGAGTTATCTTGAAAGGCAACCAGTTTGGAAGGCTTGCTGGAGGGTAAGTTTGCGTCGCAGATTTAACAGCGAGCAGAGAAACGAGTTGTTAGGCCATCTCCCAAGTCGCCTTCATCCCCACGATTTGCAGTAAAACTAATGTGATTGGATCCATGTTCAACTTGTAGGCTGAGGGGTTGCATCTGCTCTAAACCCACGTTCTAACACCTCAAAGCCATCGCAACTTAATTACCGAATGCTTAGCTCTTTCTTTCTATGGCTAATTCTGCCCATCTCTTTCCAGCCCTATTAAAGACATTCACGACGTTCTGGAAGTCATGGTGTTTGATGAAGATGGAGATAAGCCGCCTGACTTTCTTGGAAAAGTTGCCATCCCTTTGCTGTCTGTAAGTTATTTTTTTCCTCTCTGCTTTGGCTCCATACATCAGCTCAGCCTTAATGGCCTCCATGGGACGGGGCTGCTGCCTTCTCCTCCTGCAACAATGTGCGCAGAAAGAAAAATAGCCCTGTCTTGATGTTGGCGTTGCAATAATCCTTTACCTTGTAGGCACGGTTCTCTTTCAATCATTCTGCACATTCTGCAATCATGTTCTCTCTGTGTGTGTACAAGGAAGGCAGGAATCCTGGCCGCAGCTTTTGATTCATCTATGAAGCATTTCCTTGAGAACATATTTCTGTATCTTGTTTTGTTTACTCTCTTGCCTACTTCACTGTTGGGTGTGTGCAGGGGTGTGCAAACAGGCACACTCTTTTCTCCAGGGTAAGCCTTAATTAGTCGAGCTTATTTTCTAGGTACTTTCAGTGTTTGTTCAGATTCAAAGCAGATGTAGCATTTCGAGGGGACCAAAGGCAATTCGTATGCATTGTGTTCTGTGACTCAAATCTGGGTCAGTTGTGCTTCTTGATTAGGTTTTGGATGGGGTGTTTGGTTTGCTTTTTGTGCTTGCAACTTAAGCTTAATTTCATATGGGAACCCTATTGTCCTTCTGGTAATTGCATAGTTTAATACAGCTGCAAAACTCTTCTGGAGTACTTTTCCCTGTGAAGAAGACAGAATGCAGAATAACAGAGTTGGAAGGGACTTTGGAAGAGCAACCCCCTGCTTAGTCAGGGAACCCTATAGCATTCCAGACAAGTGGTTGTCCAGTCCCTTCTTTAAAACCTCCAGTGATGGAGCTCCTGCAACTTCTAAACGCAAGCTGTTCCACTGCTTGACTGTTTTCACTGTTAGGAAATTTCTCCTTAGTTCTAGAATGACCTCCAAGTCCCTTCCATGTTCTACATTCTACATGTATTCTAAGAAGCCAAGAATTTCTCCTTGGTTCTAGATGACCTCCAAGGTCCCTCCCATACTCTGTTATTCTATATTCTGTGTTCTAAGAATCTACTTTGATAAACAGCAAAACATTTCAAACCAACCAAAACTAATAAGTCCAGTTGCCCTGACTCAACTTCCAGACTCGGGACACCAAAGAACCTGTCTGAAGACACACTGATAAAACTGGGTTAGCATTTCTTCTTCCGTTTTCTAATTAAGGCTACTTCTGAATTTATTTTTTTTAAGTGAGGAAAACGCTTGTAGCATCTTTTGCCAGAGAGCTTTATTAAGTCCTCCTCTTTAATTAAACCATATCAGCAGCTGCCCAAGGTGGCCTGAAGGAAAGTTACAGTTCCTTTTCTCAACTTTCATAGCTTTTAACGTAGCTTTAAAACCTTCTCCGTTTTTAATTGCAGAGAATTTGCTTTCAAAGGAATCTGAAAATGTGCAGCTTCATGGCAATGCTCCTTTTGACTTTTGAGCCACTTTAAACTTATTATTCTTTCCACATCTATATTTTCAGCTGCCTGTTCCCTAGTTTTCCATTTCTTTTCCTTTAGACTGTCCTTTAAAACTGTTTTTCTAAGGCAGGCTGGGGAAATTTCTTTTGAAGAGCAACTTATACTTTTAAAATTAGGAGATATCCCACAGCACATTTTGAAGACTAGCAGGTAGATGTTCATATCTCACTATTGTCAGAAACAGCTGCCTCCGAAGATACATTTATATGTACTTTATATGTCTGAAAGTTGCTGAGGTAGTTTTCCCCCCTCAGCCATGAATACAGGACCCTTCAGACTCTGTTCTTCAAGGCAGGCCAATCCTTTCCCAAAATATCTTGGTTTAATCTCTTCTTTTTTAAAAAAAGCATATATAGATATAATTCTCTTTTTGATCCTATTCTTTCATATTTCAAGCTCTCCAATGTTTACTTGCGTTTTTTTTTTTTGGAATGGTTATCAAAGCTCGCGTCGTGCGCCGAACCGTTTGATGTTTACAGGGAAGGAACAACTCCTTAACATCTTTTATTCAATTTTTGATGACTCTGTTAATTTCTCCCCAAATCCTCATATCCCTGATGCTGCTGGACGGGAACAGCATGAGCAGCTGGTCTCCTGGAGAGCTAGTGTTTGCCAAATGGCTTGTGTGAGAGGCAGCCGGCTGTGTGAGTTTGACAGGGGTATGTTAGATCTCAATTCCCTCCCCTTTCCTCTTGATTTTATAGACGTTTGTCAAGAGCCCCTCACAATTTCCCGAATGGGGCTGTGAGAGGGAGGGAGATGGTCCATGGGCTGGATACGGAGAAA